TTACGTACTAATGTTGAGTAGTTCTCTATACACTATGTAAGAATGTTGAGTAGTTCTCTACACATTACGTACTAATGTTAAGTAGTTCTCTACACACTATGTAAGAATGTTGAGTAGTTCTCTACACATTACGTACTAATGTTAAGTAGTTCTCTACACACTATGTAAGAATGTTGAGTAGTTCTCAACATACTAAGTAAGAATGTTGAGTAGTTCTCTACACATTACGTACTAATGTTGAGTAGTTCTCTACAAATTACGTACTAATGTTGAATAGTTCTCTACACATAACGTACTAATGTTGAGTAGTTCTCTACACATTACATACTAATGTTGAGTAGTTCTCTACACATTACATACTAATGTTGAGTAGTTCTCTACACATTACGTACTAATGTTAAGTAGTTCTCTACACATTACGTACTAATGTTAAGTAGTTCTCTACACACTATGTAAGAATGTTGAGTAGTTTTCTACACATTACGTACTAATGTTGAGTAGTTCTCTACACACTATGTAAGAATGTTGAGTAGTTCTCTACACATTACATACTAATGTTAAGTAGTTCTCTACACACTATGTAAGAATGTTGAGTAGTTCTCTACACACTATGTACGAATGTTGAGTAGTTCTCTACACATTACGTACTAATGTTGAGTAGTTCTCTACACATTACGTACTAATGTTGAGTAGTTCTCTACACATTACGTACTAATGTTAAGTAGTTCTCTACACATTACGTACTAATGTTAAGTAGTTCTCTACACATTACGTACTAATGTTAAGTAGTTCTCTACACACTATGTAAGAATGTTGAGTAGTTCTCTACACACTATGTAAGAATGTTGAGTAGTTCTCTACACAATACGTACTAATGTTGAACAGTTCTCTACACATTACGTACTAATGTTAAGTAGTTCTCTACACATTACGTACTAATGTTAAGTAGTTCTCTACACACTATGTAAGAATGTTGAGTAGTTCTCTACACATTACGTACTAATGTTGAGTAGTTCTCTACACATTACATACTAATATTAAGTAGTTCTCTACACATTACGTACTAATGTTAAGTAGTTCTCTACACACTATGTACTAATGTTAAGTAGTTCTCTACACAC